CCCCCGTGCTCACCGTGCAGCAGCGCGGCCGTGGTTCTGTCCAGCACGCCCGGGGGGCCCTGGAGGATGCGCTCGGTCACCAGCGTGGCGCAGGAGCCCACCGGCTCCACCGTCACCTGGCACGGGGGACCGCGCTCCCGCTCCAGCGGCCGGTGGTCCAGGACCTCCACCACAGCCTCTTCCAGGGCAGCGTCAGCACTGGGGGGAAACGGGAAGGGTCACCCAGGCAGAGCCTGGGAAACCCCCGTGTTCCTCTTCCTCCCTAAAATCACCCCAGACCTGGATCGATTTGGCCCACCCTGGGCGGCAAAATCAACTGAGGCTCCGGGTGGATGGCCCTGGCCGTCCCCACCGTGCCACCCCCGGCTCACCCGGACAGGACGTGGTGATCCACCAGCGTCAGGGAGAGCAGCCCAGCGTGGTGCAGCCCCCCCAGGTCGATCTCATCCCGAAAGATCAGGGAGGCGGCCGGGATTCCCCGGTCCCGCAGCAGGAACGTCGTCTCGGTCCGGAGCGCGAAGTCGACGCGGGGGATGTTCAGCACCGGCACGAAGGCGGCTTTGGGAGCCGGGGAGGTCTGCGGCGGGGGTGACACCCGGTGAGGCGTCCCCCGGGCCACCGGCAGCTCCCAGGCACTGGCCGAGCCTCACCTGGGCCAGGAAATAGGCCAGGGCCAGCGCCGAGACGGTGGAGTCCAGGTCACAGGCCTCGTTGCCCATCACCACGTGGATCTCCTGGTGCTGCCGGATGTGATCCTGCGGGGACGGGAGGCATCAGGCACAGCAACACTGCAGCCCCGTCCTCCAAAATCCCCCAAACTGCTCCCCTGGCCTCATCTCGGTGTCCCCGGAGCCACCCATCACACATGTCACCCTCCCTCGGGACGAGCTCTGGCATCCCATCCTGGCTGGGATCCACTTGGAACCTCAGGGCTCAGAGAAGTCGGGGTTCCAGGAAAAGTCACCTTGGCCACCATGGGGCCCAGCCCCGAGCCCTGCCAGCACTCAGTGCTTTAACACATTTGTTCTAGAAATGCTGTTTGGGGCTGGTTGTCACCCCAAAAAAAGGTGTTTCACCCTCTTTTGCTTGTCTGCAGCAGCAGGAAAAACATGTCACTGTCTCAGGCCCCGTTCCCCACCCCGTCACACCCCAATTCCCTGATTTTTGGGACAATTCTCTGCTGCAGTAACCCAGATCTGCTCATTTTTGATAGAAGCTGAGGAAAAAAACACCGAGAGCAGCTGCAGCCCAAACCCCTGGGCAGGTCGGGAGGCAGGGCCGGGATGGGG